GAGGGCGGCATCCCTTCACTTGTCCTGGGGTCCCTGAGCTACACGCCACTGGCGGCTCATGACTCAACCCCTGCACCAGGCCTGAGCCCATCCCAGAGTCCCCTCCCCTTACTCCAGGCTGGAACTCCGACCTGCACCCGGAACCCCCCATTTCTGCCCCCCCTCCCCGTGCCTGCCCTCCCCACACTCCAAGCTGCTGCTTCACCCCTGAGCTCCTACTCACACCCTGAGCCCCTTGGGCCCCAGCCTGCAGCCTCTCAAACTCCTCCCTCACCCCACTTCTCAGCCAGAGCCCCCCTCTTCCGGCATTCTCACCCCTAGCCTGGTGCCTTGAGTACAGGTGGGAGGAGATTGAGTGTGGGCTGGAGCCCCAGAAGTGGTGTGGCAAGAATGTTCTGTTTTCTGCATTTGGAAATTTGGCAATCCTGCCTGCTGGTCGGTGTTCCCTCTAATGAGCGGAGCCAGTTTTGTTTTGTGCACCAATTTTGAGGTCATGCGCGCTTGTCTGATCTATGGGTGGCAGATCTGTGCCACCCAAGTTATATAATTTAAATGTTAGGGAACAAAGAATACTTAAGCAAGGGATAATTAACAAGGCGCAGGACTTTAATCAATATGAAATCAAATACAAAGAAAAAGAAAACTAACACTGCAGAATTTTCAGTAGCAATTTGGTATCTTACATGTATCTGTTCCTTTGAGGCATAACTCCCTTTGACCACACTCACCTGTATTGTTGAAGGAGCATGGACACCTAACTCAGGGTTGTGAATTCCACCAGGTGGCAGAGGTGGTAAGTTGAGCACTATAACACTAAGTGGTGCAACAGCATAAGTTCCCCTTTTTAAATCTAGGAGGAAGTGCTAGAGATGGCCCCTCTCTACTGCGTAGCTGCGTATTGCCTGGCTGGTAGACACGCTCATGCAGCCTGAGCACGTCTACCAGCCAGGCACCACGCACTGATACTGATGATAATAATAAAAGCGAATTAGAAAACACCGGGCATTTCTATGTCTGGTATTTTCTCAAGTTGTTTCCCGGACTGATACCGGAGTGTCCCGTTCAAAACCGGACACCTGGCAACTCTATCTTTTTGCAGGCCCCAGGCGTTGTGCCCCAAAGGGATCATGTGGCCCTGGCCCTAGGGGGCGCCTC